CTGAGTAAGCGCACCTGCAATAATTTCAGCAATGGGCCGCAGTATTGCTGGATGCAGCCCATCCGGCCCCGCGGCCTTGTTCTGATCTAGTTGTTTCAGCGTTGCTTCTATCTCCTTTGCCTTTAATACAAACGGGGCCATGCGCTGTTTGGGGAGTCCACATAGAAGGTCTTCCCAGGTCCGTTAAATGGACCTTCTCGAAGAAGCTTTTTCGAACTTCAGCCTTCTCCTTGCTAGAGGCTGCGCTGACACCGTCTGCATTTACTACATTACCAACCGCAACCTTAGAGTGAGCCTAAGACTGTACATAGTTGTAGCAGGTTTTTGGTCGCTGTTTGGCATTGCGAGCAATCCTACTCTCGTATTCCCTTTGGCAGTGTCTCTGAGTCCTAACTGCCTTTTCTCTCGCCGCCTGATAACTCAGGTGCTGATGATAGCCCCTTGTTCCTGAGACAGTTCCAAGTCCTCCGCTTCATGACTTGTGCCCTGAATACCGTTTTTCCCACCAAGGCGGACGGCCTCCTCTTCTGACTCTTCTCAGGGGAGCGGAAAATTCCGTAAGCCGGGTGATGCTGTCTTTGAATAACTGCCACTCCTGCTCCACGGTGTGGAGGCCATCTGTTGTCCACTGGATTGCCTTTGCTGCTTGCCTGAGCGCCAGGACATCCAGCTTCCTATAGTCCCTCCTGAGCTTATTTGGGACCAGGGGAGGGTTTCCCTTGATGTGGAACCTAAGTATTCCATGGTCACTACGCCCTAGGGGAGCAGAAACCGCGAGCTGTTACACACCCTGCGGCAACTTGGACAGACCTAGGTCCGACGTGCTAGGCCTTTGCCCCTCCGGCCATCTAGTGTATTGACTGACGTGCTGCACCATGGGGAGCACTGTGATCAAGTCCACTAGTTTTCTACCAAAACCAGAGGGAGGGGCCCACAGGCTTTCCCAGTCTACCTCCGGAGAGTTGAAGTCACCCATGATGACCAACCACTCCGCATGGTTGCTTGCCCTGGCCAGATAGTCGCGCAGTCGGCCATCCTCCTCATTATCTGAGAGTAGTGCTCTGTAAGCACTTACTACCATCACCATGCAGTTCGGGGATTGTATGGTGCATGAGAACGCCTGGATATTCGGCGTGGACATGTGATCGCCCTCCGCCTGATCTAGGGTGTCCGAAACAAGGAGCAATATGCCACTTCCACCACTACCATCTTCCCTGTCCGACCTGTACGCGAGGTACCCGGTGAGTTGCAGGCTCTCCGTTGTGATGGCCTTGTGTAACCATGTCTCGGCAACCACAATACAGTCTGATTCTACGGTTATAGCTCTTAATTCTCTCTACTTGTTGCCTAGGATTCAGGCGTTCGTGTAGAATGCTGATAACCTCCCAGCCACAGCCCCTCTTTCAGCCTTGGTGTCACCAAAGTCTAGTGTGCACTCGGGCAAATTGCCCGACAGCCCTCTTCGCTTTTTATCGCTGGCATACACTTGGACCTCAGTCGCTGAGGCGCTGCAGAGGGAATGGCGTCAACACTGGCCCTTCGATCAACCGTAGCCCACAATTTCTTACTAGTCTTCAATTGAGTAGGCACAACATCATCCGGCTTGTCCTTACGATTAGCTCTGACTACTATCATCCGTCCTACTAGCGTGGGCTCAGGGCCTTCATCGTTACGTCTGTCACAGGACTTTACGGGGATTCACGGTGGTTGACGAACTATGGAACCGAAGTAAACGAGTAGCCCGGGTTCCAGTGGTAGGTTTATTGCTCAGTGACGGACGGAGGTCCTCGGAGGTCCTCTGAGCGCAATGCCAACGGGGTAACGTACCCCCCCCTAGTTAAAGAGTTTGCCGAATTAGCCAATTCTCTCTCGATCGATGAGGGGCCAGTTCCGAGGTTGAATCTTGTCCCTGCATCTCTTCTTGCACTGTAAGACGAATGATGATCAAGTAAAAATGATTCATTGACTGTTGTTGGTATCAGGGTCCCATAAATACGGTAGTGGCGTGGCATCCCAATTAATAGGATATCTAAAAACGATCGATTTTTAAATGTATTTTAGAAAAAGCGATGTCGAATTCAGCCGAAATGCAACAGATTTTGATTTTGGCTGATTCTGAGTGATTTGTTGAAATTTAATTTGTTTCAATTAACCTTGACTTTGTCCAGAAAGTATAAATAACGCAATTTAATTCCGACGATCACTTTCACGCTCGCACCAACGAAACGGTCGTTTTTGAACGGATGTTAAGAAGTTGCTGTGGATAGGTGGACGGATTCTTGGAGGACTTCCGTGAATTCCAAGGGGTTACTTGCACTTCCCTCTACGTCTATGCGTCAATGACAGCCGAACGACTGATATGGGACAGAAAGTCGGAAACTAACTCTGCCTGAGGGTTTTCCGTATTATTTCATCAAAGATTGCTGTGTACATCACAGAAGGCGCGGCGCAACTGCAACCAGGTAATTATGCCTCACATTTCTAATGTATTTAACCCATTTTAGGCTGCAAAATATCGATTGTCCGGCATTCGTTGAAATTCGCGCGGTTATGAGGGAGTACCGAATAATGCGACGTTGTCTGGTGCACAACCATGACTTCCATGTGGGTCAGCGGGGTCTATATATAAGTAATCATCTGCTACCTTGAGAACAGGAAAAGGAAGTGTGTACTTTGATGGACAATTTTAGAAGTACTCTCGAGCTAAGGGATTTCGCCACACGCAGGTTCCAGAGACTACGGCAGATATAAGACCCATACGTCGAAGTAGGTCTCAGT